CCCTCCCGCGCTAGCCTAAGGGCCACCTTAGCAAAGCGCATCCCAGGCTGCATAGCCGCACTACCCTACCCAACCATACCACACATAAACATGACACTACCCCCGGGGTTTACACAGACGAGCCGGCGAAGCAAGAAGAGCGCCAGAAGAAAGGGCCCTAGCCGGCGGGGCCCAGCCAGGACAAAAGGAGGTCCCACAAAGCGCCTACACCGGCCGCAATTGCGGTCGGGGTAGACGACGGATGGGGCCCACCTACGAAGGCTGTCCAGGCCTACACGAGATGAGGCAGGATAAAGAGGGATAATTCCCCTCGATCCCAAATAATTGAGGCCAATTTCTAGCCATAGAATAATGGCGCGAGTTGTACAGTTGAGGTTATGATGATAGGCTTACTGTCCAATCGTTTGACAAAATAGTTTTGTGGAAAAAGTTGTACTAAAATATGGATTTAACATTTAACAATTGCAAAATTTGAATCTAACATAGGAATTATTGAGGTATATATTATGTAAACTAAAACTATATTATTGTCTGAATTATTGTGGTACCTATGGTTTTTGTTTTATATTTATTTGACAAAATTGTGAGGTTAGAAAATAATAATCGATCCGATTATTATTTTCTAATTAATGCTAATTAAGTCGATAGTGAAGTCATTTTTGATTCAGTATCAGTATTCAGTGCATTAATTCATCGAACTTTTTCCGGATGAATTTAAAAACTTGTCGCTTACTTTTATTAATAAATCAGAAATTTTTTATTTTACGTACCATAGAGAAAGGCTGTTATCTAATCTCTGTCACGTACACAAGACTAAGGCACAACGTTATTTTGTTATAAAAACTAAACTAACACTAACAGCACAAACAAAAAATACAAACACACAATTCACATACTAACAATTAATTTGAATCAAGAATCAAAATGGAACTAATGGAAGATGGCGCTGATGGAACAAGTTGCAGGCGACGTTGCCAAATATATTAACAGTAGGTAAGTAGGTATCTAAATATTTAAATTCTGGAAAATTGATCCCTGTTATTGAATTTAAATTAAATAATATCTAATATTGTTTTCACACAACTGTTCAATTATCACACCTACCTACAATTAGAGAACTAAGAATTATTTGAAAATATATTTTCTAAAAAGAAAAATAAATTTATTTAATGTATTTATCATTATTTTTCGGTATTCTACCGCCATTTCTATTTATTTACATGATATGATGGAATATCACCCTCCCTGATTTATTTGTTATCCTCCAAAATAAGATTACTAAATATCGCAAATTTATTTCTATGGGCAGCAAAAGATGGTTTTCCGGGGTGTTATGCCATATACCCGATCGCTGCAGTCACAGACTTTAACTGTACTTCTTTAGCCTTAGCTAGGAATCTTTACTGTCCTTGTTGGTCTCGAGCTAGGCTCTGTGGAGGCGCACCCGCTATCGAAATTTGGATTGAATTCTGTAAATTTTGAGCGTAATATTCTTCTTTGAAAAAAATAAGATAACCAACGGTGTTTCAAAGTTTATTCACTTCTATCTGACAAAATACGAGGTTGCCCTTACAATACAATAAATAATATTGCTAATCTGTAGCACATTTTGAGCAAACTGTGTATAAATACAAATATTGCAAAAGACTAGAATACACTTTTTTACAGTTTGTTCAAGATTGTTGTAACAAAATAGAAAAAATACTATATAATTATATATGACACCTCAAAAAACCTTAAACTATTTTATACATTTCCAAACTAGCTACTCAGAAAATAAGTCTATACATTTACAAGTAAAGCTGCCCACACAAGAGAGCGAGTAAAAGTTGACGAGTGTGGGTATATCTAAATGATATTTTTTCACAATAATAAAACTTAATTTATAGTTTCTCTATGTTATAAATAGGTTTTTTTTAGAAAAAAATGGCCGAACTTTTCGAGCGCATAATAGTGAATAAAATATATTTCTATATCTAATTCTTTGGACGGAAGAGGTTAGAGCTCGTATACGGTACAGAGAAAAACATCAAAACGTCTCTATCTCTGTTGCAGCTAGACACGTAATGTTTTTCTGTACACTTCAAAGGCCATTCTCGGCATATTTACAATAATCAAATCCAAAAAATGGTCACACGTGTTTGAAAAGGCACAAAACACTCGTGTATGTAGAAGTAATTACATTTACACATTTCTCAACATTTACAAACGACTGTGCTATGCTTCATCTCTTGACTTTTTTTTTAATTGTTATAATACCTATTATTATTGCAATTCAGGATTTAGTATAAATTCAGGGTGTAATTTTAAGTGGGGATTGTCTTTTTAGGGGTAATAATACGTGTTCCCTAAAATATTAATAATTTGCAATTATTTTTTTGCTTTAACAAAATAATTCGTCGAGTTATATTTTATATTTATTTTTTTTTGTACTTTTTAGTTTGTGAATCTCAGTTCCAACGATTTCTGACATTGATCTAGTTTAGTACTTGAGTCGAAAATTGCGATTTTTCACTTTTTTTTACTGCCCACGAAAGTCTAGACGACCTATCGGAAAATTAGTCGTTTTATGTTGTAGGCAATTAAATTACCTACAATTTAAGGTATCTAAAGTCATAGTTCACCAATTTGTTAACTGTAAAATCGCGTTCAAACTCTAATTTGACTGGAGTATACGTGAACGCATAATATCAACACTATCAACCCACCTAAAGTGATATGGCAACAGGGCGTAACGCGGATAAAAAACAAACGGCCAACGTTAATATGTCAAAGCGAAAATGGTCAAATTTTGTCACATTTATATTAGTTTTAAGTTCACAAGAAGGGATTTGTAACGCAGTAGGGAATTTCGCGAGTGTCTCGTGTAGTGTAACTGTATAACATTAGAAAGTAACACAAGGTCAACGACCAAAAAACTTTTTAGACGTGTTTATCAGTTTTACCTTATTCTTATCTTATACAGTTTTGAGTGTTAAAATAATATTGAAAACGCCATATCACCCATCATTTGTTAAAATTTTAACATATGGAAAAACGCTGTCAAGGACGCTGGAACACCAATATGATGGGAGATTAGTGTTGGTCACTTCACCGAGAGAGTCGGCAAACAGCGCGTTATAGCTGTTTTACATTGACAATTTATTGATGAATAAATTGACGAAGTTCTTCATGAATTAATTCACGAATTTATTGATAAACAATGTGGTTTTACTTTGTCAAGTTTTTTGACGCATGAATCAGTTCTACCAACGAATCAAAGAAGCAAATAAATTTCAAAAATGTCACCTTTCCACTCATAATTGTAGTGACACAACAGCGGTACCGTTTTGACACATATCATATAAACATTAGTTTTTGTAAGTAACAAATCAGTAAAAACAATGCAAAACTAGCACGACGCCACACAATTATTTACATATTCTAATAACATAACCTCATTACTTATCTGAGGCTGGAAATCTGTTGGGTTGGTACTTCCGAACTTCACGAAGAAATTGACGAAAATTAGAACATGCTCTATTCTATTCGTCAAGAACTTGATGAATAAATTCATGATATTTTTTGACAGCAGATTTGGTGTATTACACTTGTCCAATTTCTTGATTAAGCGACTTCATGAATTAATTGATCAATAAATTGTTAATATAAAACAGCTATAAGAGAAAAAGTCACATCAGGAGCTTTAATGAAAAGAGGAAAAGAAAATATAAACCAATGGACACATACTTAAATCCTTTATAGAATCCAGTATTACCACCCCAAAAACTATAAAAATCAGCTATAAAGATTTAAAAATCTTTTTGAAGTGTTTTTTTCGACCTGTTTAATTTATTTCAGTGTTTAGTGATGGTATGGCGTGTTTGTGTCTTCATTGTTAAATGTCTGTGTTATATTACGAATTAACAAGTATATGCACCGAGAAGGATGAGATTTGACAACAATACATGCTGTAGCTTCCAATCGGCTAGTGTTTGAGGTTATACTAGGCTGCACAGCGCGGAATATAAAAAAGGTAAGACATCAGTCTTCATGATGGTATTTGAGAAAAAAAAACTTACGATATGTTTCTCTAAAGGTTCAAAGGCAGCCTTTATATAAATATGACCCCCATTTAAAATTACACCCTCTATAATATATAAAATATAATATATCTGCGTACTTTTTAATAACTCTAGTTGAGGCTAAAATCATTTTGAGCCGAATATTGAGCAACGAATTTAAAAGTCCTTCCAGCATTCGAAGGAAATAATACGTTTTTTAAGAATTACTTTCAAGGAATTGAAACAGTTTTAATATATTTTGTACAGAAAGTTCCTAAATCGGACCAATCTGCACCATTTGGAAAACCCATCAGGAAAATCACCCATCAATCATATCAATTATACAAACCCCACGAATCTCAAATCGCCCTATGTTACAACGAATCCAACAGAGAATCCAACAACTCCAACTGACACTCGTCCCAGCCGTTGGTTGCAAGAAGCAGACCCGTAAGTTCGTCTTCCCCCAATATTTGGTTGACGGGTTCAGTTATGACGGACTGGTTTGGCATCGAAGCAGGGATAAAATCCTCCTTTTTCTCGTCAGGTTCCTCGGTGGCTTTCTCGACAGGCTTTTCCTTCGGGGTGTCCTTCTTCTTGGTCTCTTCGAAGTTCTCGATGTCGGTCTCCCCGCATATGGAGATGTTGGACAGGATGTTGTGCTTCCTTTCGCCCGTATTTTGCGAGGGTCGGTACCTAAAAATGAATTAATGAATTGTTAATTATTCATAAGTATAAACTTATTTTTAATATTATCTTTGGTTTCTTTGAATTATTTAATAGACCAGAAGAACCTCTCCCGAGTTTTTTTTTATTTTTAAACATTTTAGATAAACGTTTAAATTACATGTAGGTATCTTTCCTGACTCTATAATGATTAGTGCTGGGTCAATGGTTTACTGATAGACGAATAATGTGGGTAAAGTACCGCTAAACCAGCAACGATAGATATTACTATTGGAACAAAACAACATTTGTCTATTTTACTTCTAACATCATTTTAATTTTCTCTGAATGAGAAACAAAACTTATGTAAGAGTGCATCTTTAAGTGGGGGGTCAGTTTTTAGGCATAATACTATGTGTTCCTCAGAATAGTAATCTGAAAAAATTTGTTTAGTCAAGTTATAATTAATCCATTTTTTAACCTACAGTGAAACGCTTGTCTACGCTGTCACTAGACAGCACCCGGCCCGGTTGTTTGTACGCGCTTGTCAGTGTTGCCTGTTGATACCTTTTTAAACCAACTGCATAAAACTAACGAAGTAGCAGAGAGCGAAAATGCAATGGAAAATAATTTCGTAAAAAACAGATTGCTTTTGTATGACTTTGCGATATATTATTTTAAAGTCACCCTATTTTTTATGTTACCGCAGATGAAGCTTCGAACATTAAAATAATTTTTCAATGTTTTCAAAAAAGTAATACATTTGGCATGATTTATTCGCGTTTTTTTTCTCGATTGCTCTTAATTTATGAAAAAATTAGAGCAGGAAAAAGTATGCCCCAACCAAAGTGTTACAAAGAACTCCTGTAGACTAGGATATATTATGATAATATGCTCACCTTTTGGTTTTTCTAGGCGGTTTAGAAACTTTCTCTTCGGGGTGCCGGTTCCTGGGTGCCCTAACTGTCAGACTAGACCGCCTTTTTGACCTCCTAGACTCCTCCAACCTTTCTAGGTCCAATTTCCAAAATCCTCCCTTTCCCGGTTCGTCTTTAGACCTCGGGTGTTTCACGAAGCACTTATTTAGAGATAAGTTATGCCGTATCGAATTCTAAAACAATGATTAATATAAAAATTAACATTAATTTAATAATAATAATAATAATACACCGAAGTTGATTTTAATTATCACCCTGTAAATGTATCGGAAGTGAGTTCATCGTTTATTTCATGTTTTACGTATAAAATGCTATAACTAAGTTTTACAAAAGTTTCATAGTTTGATTTAATTTAATTTAATTCTTGTGTTGTTTCATAACATGAAATAGAACAGCAGACATATTTTTGCTAACAAGTGTTTGAAAAAGTCTTACGGAGCACAATCTTTGAGTTTTCGCTTTCTACAGGGCTGATAGAGCATCAAAACATTTTCCTATGGGCCATGGATCTATCTATTTTTTTTGTTTTTTTTTTTGTAGCTAATACAATGCGAAACATGGCCTTAATGTTAAAAATGTTGTCATCGCCGTTCTTGGTGGTGAAAAACTCGAAATATTTGTAATTATTCAATTTTCTACCGAGAGAGTTGCACTATCCAAATTTGGACAGGACATAGCTAATACAATGCGAAACATCGCCTTGATCTTAAAAATGTTTGGCACCGTCGTTCTTGGACGTGGAAATTCCAAATATTTGGAATTATTCAGTTCTCGTGGCTGAAATCATACGTAGCTATTAAATTTTCGAAACCTAGAGAGTTACACTAACCAAATTTGGAGAGGACAAAGCTAATACAATGCGAAACATCACCTTACTACATATTAAAAATGTTGTCACCGCCGTTCTTGGTGATGAAAATTCGAAACATTTGCAATTATTCAATTTTCGTAACTGAAAACATACATAGGTATTGTATTTTCGAAATCAAGAGAGTAAATTTGGACAGGACATAGCTAATACAATGCGAAACATCGCCTTGATGTTAAAAATGTTGTCACCGCCGTTCTTGATGATGAAAATTCGAAATATGTGGAATTATTCAATTTTCGTGGCTGAATACATACATAGGTATCGTATTTTCGAAATCGAGAGAGTAAATTTGGACAGGACATAGCTAATACAATGCGAAACATCGCCTTGATGTTAAAAATGTTGTCACCGCCGTTCTTGATGATGAAAATTCGAAATATGTGGAATTATTCAATTTTCGTGGCTGAATACATACATAGGTATCGTATTTTCGAAATCGAGAGAGTAAATTTGGACAGGACATAGCTAATACAATGCGAAACATCGCCTTGATGTTAAAAATGTTGTCACCGCCGTTCTTGATGATGAAAATTCGAAATATGTGGAATTATTCAATTTTCGTGGCTGAATACATACATAGGTATCGTATTTTCGAAATCGAGAGAGTAAATTTGGACAGGACATAGCTAATACAATGCGAAACATCGCCTTGATGTTAAAAATGTTGTCACCGCCGTTCTTGGTGGTGAAAATTCGAAATATTTGGAATTATTCAATTTTCGTGGCAGAAAACATACATAGGTTTTGTATTTTCGAAACTGAGAGAGTTGCACTAACTAAATTTGGACAGAACATAGCTAACATAATGTGAAACATCGCCTTACTATTAAAAATGTTCTCACTGCCGTTCTTGATGATGAAACTTCGAAATATGTGGAATTATTCAATTTTCGTGGCTGAATACATGCATAGGTTTTGTATTTTCGAAACTGAGTGAGTTGCACTAACTAAATTTGGACAGAACATAGCTAACATAATGTGAAACATCGCCTTGATGTTAAAAATGTTGTCACCGCCGTTCTTGGTGGTGAAAATTCGAAATATTTGGAATTATTCAATTTTCGTGGCAGAAAACATACATAGGTTTTGTATTTTCGAAACCGAGAGAGTTGCACTAACTAAATTTGGACAGGACATAGCTAATACAATGCGAAACATCGCCTTAATGTTAAAAATGTTGTCACCGCCGTTCTTGGTGGTGAAAATTCGAAATATTTGGAATTATTCAATTTTCGTGGCTGAAAACATACATAGGTATTGTATTTTCGAAACCGAGAGAGTTGCACTAACCAAATTTGGACAGGACATAGCTAATACAATGCGAAACATCGCCTTGATGTTAAAAATGTTGTCACCGCCGTTCTTGGTGGTGAAAATTCGAAATATTTGGAATTATTCAATTTTCGTGGCAGAAAACATACATAGGTTTTGTATTTTCGAAACCGAGAGAGTTGCACTAACTAAGTTTGGACAAAACATAGCTAACATAATTTGAAACATCGCCTTACTGTTAAAAATGTTGTCACTGCCGTTCTTGATGATGAAAATTCGAAATATGTTGAATTATTCAATTTTCGTGGCTGAATACATACATCGTATTTTCGAAAGCGAGAGAGTTGAACTAACCAAATTTGGATGAACATAACTAATACAATGCGAAACATCGCCTTATCTGTAGGTTTTAAGTTTTCAGAATGTAACGTAAAAAGCAGGACACTTGGTATAACATCTTTAAAAAATTATATCGGTCTTAAAACATTTTTGTTGTTGGGTGGAACCATAGGCGCCGACTTTTAAAACTTTTATCGGGTGCTCGGTTGCCTTATAAGCATTTTTTGCCAGATAACATTAAAAAGTAAGAGAAATGAGTCGTCATTTGAAATAGCATGATGTAAAATATTTAAAATACGTATTTCTCCGAATTAGATTTTATGAAAAACTTTTTAAAAAATATATCGAAATTAATTAAACTTGTCAAAATAAATAAACTTT